CTTAGCAGAAATTAAGGAACTGTTTTTAAACCTCCACGAAAAACATTGAATTAATCATGGTCTTAGTGTGTCGCATTCCATGTTGGCAAAGGTTTGTTGACTAGTTTTTTGGGCGATGAAACTACATTCAAAATTGTCATTTGGTATATTGTTAAGCTAAAACTTCTATCAGTTATACCCGAACAAATCTAACGACTGCCCCAGGATATCCAATCAAGTTCATTCAATATTAGATTATACTTTGGTTAGAGAACCGGTAATGAAACCAACTGCTAAAAGTTTCTTAGGTTATACTGATTTACATGATCTTTGCTAGGATAAGATATGTGCTTTCACAAAAGTCGTATTTAATCTGGTTAGCTTTGTTGGCACTCGTAAAACAGTTGGTGATTTATCAAGCTTGGTCGGTCCCAGTTTCAGAATTAGCTGTAACAAGAACATTTAACAAATCTAAATTAATGAAAGTAAGAATTAACATTACTTCTGTAAAAATTTCCAACGTATTGTTAGTTTTTTTTTTCTTTTTGTAAAGAAGATATTGTTAGTTTGATTGAAATGTCACAGGTGGATTTTATAGACGGCAGAGCGGACCGACCAACTATTTTAAAGTGTATCACTCCTAGTCCTACTAATAAATTAAGAAAAAACGTAGTTATGCTTTTGGTGCAAAGATTTAAGTATTAACCATTACAGAAACAAAATAAAATATAATACTCTATCTGTTCCTAGAAGATTCATATTCTAATTTTTTCACATTTTTTAATAAAACAAAATAAATTTACATAGTTTTTTATATTTATCTTTTTCCATAATTTTAAATCAATAACAAATTAATTTGTGCAGTTAAAATTTTTTTTAAGTTTACAATTAGTTAATAAAACACACATTGAAAATGTAAAAAAAATAGATCTTTTAGAAATAATTTTTTTTAGAATATGTATCTTTAAGAAACAAAGGGAATACTTACTAAAAATGTTCTATTTGCTTTTGATGCTAAATATTTTGATTAAGAAAACTAATTGCTTTCGATGCTATATATTCTTTTATTTGATCCGATAAACATATATTAATACACGAAGAGTGAAACATAGCTGCATTTATCCTTTTTCTGTAATCCATTGGAATCTAGGATGTAACTATAGTTTGTTTATATATTAATTTACATAACCCATCACACTAAAACTTCGGTCACGTATATCGTATGCAAATTCAGTATATTGTAAATGAATAAAAGTTCATGATTATTGAAATGATTAAAATCGATTGCCGACAATTATTAAATTATCTTTTTAAGAAATATAGTAATTAGATACAGTCACACACCTACAAAGAAAAAGAGAGAAAAGTACGTACATTTAGTCATTTACTTTATGGCGCAAATAACATAGCAAACCCAATAGGTTTCATACGATATTCATATCGATCTCTCTAGGAAAGTTCAATGTGAACTACTTAGAATTCTGACATGTTCCCATGAAATATTGAAATGTACTGTATACCTAGTTCAAGTACTTTTCTATCAAAATTGCAGAGATCATTAGGTAACTGTAACTAGATCTGGTTTGGTTTGAAGATTGATGACGGCTCCACGGTCGATCAGTGTTTCAATGTCGGTTTTCTTACATAAATAAAATTTCAAGGTAAGACTTGAATAATAAGTTATAATTAGTATCGTCCGATTCCACACATTAAAAGCCTAGTTATATATATACAAGGCTACAATCGATATATTAGTAGAGTTGATACTTGATACTCCGAAGATTTTAGAGAGAGTAACATCTTTAGAATTTCTTTATTTTATCATTTGTTGTTCTTTCGTTTTCTTCATCATGTTATTAGTTACTTTTTAATAATCTATATATATTATATATGTATTTGTTACTTGTGACAATATAATTATTAATTTATGTTGTTAAAAAAGAGCGCATGCTTTCTACTAGTTAAAGTCATAATGAGTACCCAAAAAGATATATGGTATATCAAATGATCCTCACAAAGTCAATTATTTAGACGTTGAGTTTTGAAAAATAATCAATAATATGAAAGAAATAAGGAGGGAAAAACAGGGATATGGTGTAGAGTAGGTGTGTGGAAAAAAAAACTACACATAGACATCGTTAATTGGTTCGTTGTTGCGTAATTCGTCCCATCATAGTTTACCCGAGCTGTGAGTCATGTGACAATGATGTGTTTAATTTGTGTAGATTTTCTTATAATAAATTTCTCCTTTTGATATAAATTTGGATAATTATATAGTTTTCTTCTATAAATAAATCAACATTTGGTGATCAACATTTAACCTATACACACAAAAAAAATAGGCGTTTAATCAATTAAAGTGACTCATTGCATTAGAAAAATGTAAAACATTGCTAAAAGAGTCGTCTATATCCATACATATTTCTGTAGAGGCATATCATATATACTTTTTTTTGTCGACATATCAACCATAAATTAAAATTACAAAATTTGTATAGATTTTGAATCGTACACAATCAAAATAAAAAATATTGAAAATCACATGATTTTTACTCTTGGAAACCTCAAATATATAATATAAGGACATCTCCAATGATTTACCACAATTTTTTCTTTCAAAACAAGGTAAATTCAATATATGTTTGCATGCTCCAATGATTTCTAACATTTCTTCTCTCAAAAAAATATTTTAAGTATATAACATTATTGCTACTTATTATTAGTTCTAAAAAATGCTTATTGTTTTATAAAACTTACAAATTCTACCCAAAATAATTTTATTTGAGCTATATCTTCATTTTATACATATAAGTTTAGATTCTAAAAGAAATATTATATTTTATATAAACTTATAGTTGTATTACTAAATTATTAATAATTTCTTTAAAATACAAAACATAAATATTGAATCTTTTTAGGTATGGAACAAAATTATAAAAAAGTTTAAATGCTAATTTATAAATAAAAAATTAAAACTAAAAAGAGTTTGTGAATAGTGTTTTCTCATATTTGAGAGAATATTATTCATAAACTCATTTTTTCTTTAAAATGATGTATCACTGAAAAAAAATTTAGATTAGTTTTTATATTTTTCTTCAAAGTGAAGGATATTAGAGCATTTCTAAGAAGGAAATTCATTTTAAAGGTAGAGAATCTTCAAAATGAGGATTTGAGGGTGTGTTACTCCAAAAAGAAACCTCAAATCTATCTTGAATTTTTTTTACTATTTGTGTTTTAGTCTCTAACTTTAATATAAACTAATGATAATCACTAAAATTTATATAGATAAATAATACTATACTTTAAAAAGTTAAACATAATATTTATAAACAAAATTTGTATTAAAACAAAATACATAACATAATAATAGAAAACACACATTAATTCATAAAAAAATAAAAATAAAAATTCCTCACTACTATTATTTTCATAGTGTTCTCATATATGATTAATCAACCCAAAGTGTTCTATTTAAGTATTATTCTTTTATATTATCTTTTATTTTATTTTAGTAAATTTATATATTTTATGTATTAATTACATATATATAATTTATTTGAATATTTCAGACAAATATATTTATAAAATATAGTTATAAAGAGTAAAGTAATAAGAAAATTAATACAAATACAATTATATGTAAGCTATAAAAATATACGGACTAAACTGAAAAGTGAATAGTATTTTGAGGGCATGAACAGTGGACCCTCAAATTTGAAGTTTCACTATTCACGCTCTCAAAATTTGAGGATTTGAAGGTTTTTTGTAGAGATAAAAACCTTAAAATTTAAGGATTTGAGTGTCTCTTGGAGATGCTCATAGAGATGTCTAACTAGAAACGTTGCTTTTTAATTTACGAACACGAAACATTACGTTTATAGTAAGGTTTAATAACAAACTAATATGTGTTCGAGTGAAAGAAATGGTGGGGAAAATTGTCAACTCTACAGCCCCCTCTCTATACAAGAGACATTGATTGAGATCAATCGCACACCTTCCTGTCCCCTTAGATCTATATATGTTAACAGAAAAAAAACTATTGACAGTATGTCTTCTTTTTTCTTTGTCAGCTGACACGTCTAATTTATATGTAAAAATGACACAATGTAAATGTTGATTTGAGGTGTGACATGTCTTAGTCATAAGTCCCAATGAAGACAGTCCCTTAATCTACGGTTAGGTGATTGCTGCTCACCTTCCACTCTTGTTTCACCTCTTCCTTTTTTTCTTTTTTTAAGACAAATCCCTTTTTCAAAATTCTAAATAAACACTCGACTGATTAGTTACATAGATTTGCGACCATACTTCTAATTCTGATTTATGATAATCTAAAAATCAGTAAAGTCCAAGAAGACCTGATGAATTAACTTCGGTTTGGTTGCTTAATCTATAACTTCGGTTTGGTTACTTAAATTAGTCAAGCTCCATATCTTTACATTCTCTAACACGTCACAGTTTACACAAACATTTTATTTATCGATCAGGTTTATATGGAATTAGGAAGCATACGTGAATTAGACACTATTACGACATAGAAAATTATTAAAACGTGAAAGTAATTAAATCAAAAACAAATCATAAGTGAAAGTAATCGATATAGAAAAAAATAAACAGTATAAATGACAGTAACCTAATCCCTACACAAAGTCAAATATATAACATTTAAAAATATACTTTATTTCATTATAAATGTCACTTTAAATTTGTGTACACGTATTAAAATAATTAATTTTATATATTTTTATATAAAACACACAATTATCTATATATTTAATTATATTTTAATTAATAAAAAAATTATATAATAAAATTAATAAATTGTGCATTGAATCGAAAATAACATTTATTTTATAGCAAAAAATTTCTTTAAAATTATACTTAATATGAAATAGGGAGAATATAGTGTAATTTAAAGTTAAAGTGTTTAAATAAAATCAGTCCCCACAAGCATTAAAAACTCAATTAAAGACAACTATAAGACAGGACAAGAGTTCCACTCCAAACTTCAATTTCAAGTCTCAGTTCCATTAAGAAGCTCTCTCTCTTTCTCTTTTTGTAGTTTCATCGAACGTGATGAAGTCAATCTTATCCACCACTTCTCTCGACTCATCATTCTCTCTCTCTAAACGTTACTTCAGTTGGAAGAAGAAGAAGGTTCAAGAACAAGACCAAGAGGAAGAAGAAGATGATGAAGAAGACAACAACAACGAAGAAAAAATCTTGACCCGTTTCAACTTCTCCTCTGACCCGACCCGCACGGATCATTTTGATATTCATCAGATAACAAAAAAGAATAAGAAGAAAAAAAAGACTATCGAGAAGATCCGTTACGCGCTCGGGTTCTCTAACTCGGGTCTGGGTTTCCGGGTCGTTGGGACATTATTCGGAAACCGTCGTGGACACGTGTTTTTCGCCGTACAGGATGAACCGACCCGTTTACCCGCGGTTTTGATCCAGTTACCGACTCCAACGAGCGTTCTCGTCAAGGAAATGGCTTCAGGGCTGGTGAGGATCGCTCTCGAAACGGCGGCGTTTAAGACGGACTCGAAGAAGCTTTTGGAGGAGTCCACGTGGCGAACGTACTGTAACGGGAGAAAATGCGGCTACGCGGCGAGGAAAGAGTGTGGAGAGGCGGAGTGGAGAGTGTTGAAGGCGGTGGGGCCCATAACTATGGGTGCCGGAGTTTTACCGGCCGTGGTGGGAGAAGGGAATGAAGCGGTGGGGTCCGAGAAAGGTGAGCTCATGTATATGAGAGCCCGGTTCGAGCGGGTTATCGGGTCGAGAGATTCGGAGGCGTTTTATATGATGAGTCCTGATGGGTCAAGTGGTGGGCCGGAGCTTAGTGTCTATTTTCTAAGGGTTTAAGTGGAAGAAAAAAAAAACAAATTAGTGTATGATTAAGGAAGGTAATATGTGCCAAGGAATTTAAGAATGTGTTTTGATTTTGGGGTTTTTGTTTTTAGTGATGGGATATGGAATATGGGACATGTTGTTCTGTACTAATGTTTTTATGAAATCCATGTTTCTTTTGGCATTTGCCAATGTTGAAGTATCTTAATCAAACGGTTTTTTTCTTTGTAATATTACTTAAAAACTATAAACTTGTCTACCAAAAGTGAATTGAATGATTGGGAAATCTTTTAAGTTTTTTTTTGGAACGTTGGGAAAATTTTAAGTAGATATTTAAAATAACTAAACACACAAAAGAAGAGAGAACTTATTTACAGGTGCTTCATGCTCTTGCTTTCAGGGTTGGTTATTCAGTTTGTATCAAACTTGAGACTTAAGTAAAATCAGGCGATCTCGAGCTATGCACACTCTTCTTCTTGTTTGCTTTTTTTTTTCATTGTCAACTATCTTATTTGCTTATAACGTGTAATTACGTGATTTAGAATAGATTTGATTGAGAGACAAAGTGAGACAGCGTGATAGCGAATCTTGAAAAAGAGAGTTGTTTCGTCATGAAGTTATAGTGGATTTCCGGAGTGATTTTTCCCATGACCTACGGATCCCAAACTCGTAGTTCTAGGAGTTCTTTAATTTTTAGCTTAACCGGTCTATTCGAAGTTCCTAGTGTCTACAATCATTCTTTCGTACGAGTTAAGGTGTAAAACTCACATATGCAACAATGCAAACACTAAAAAATGAAAGTACCACTTCCACTTAACTTCTCACAAGTTGGATGATAAATACGAACATGAACCTTCTGTTGTGTCTGTTCTTTGACTTTAGATAGTGGAAGGAACATCAACCTTGAATCCTTCAGTATGTAAGTATTAGACAGACATAAGGAGAGCACAGTCAAATTGGAAGTTAAGATTTGGTAGACAAATGCACCATGTTAAAATTCTTAGAGCGATGAAAATGAACCATTTACTTTCCACTCGTCCCTCTAATATAAAACATGACTAGTATACAAACTGTGACAGAGATTAAGTTACGTCCAATTGAAACGGGCCTACAATCTGTAAAGTTTCCATGGCCCAAAAAGTTGGGTACTTAAATAACTCTTCTTCAACGCTCTTAGATAACTTTTATTCAGAATTATGCCTTGATAGATAGCGTTAGCGTCGGCTATTTGTATATTGCATCACCATATCTTCCGTCATACTTATTAAATTAATAAGGTTTCGAAATTAGTTATTTTCAGGCTCTTCTTGAGCTTATACAATAGACATTCTTTTTAGTTATTCATCGAAATTAATGTTTTTATGCTAATACATATTTTTCAAATATAAAACTAATACGTGAGCTTGATGGCTAAGAGTTAACTTAATAAGTATGTATATAATCACGAAATACCTATCCATTGACAGCTATAAACCTATAACCCTGGATTGGTCCATCCAATTTAATACTCCAATTAGTTTCAAGGAGATTATTATGATATGAGAGAATGAGAGATACATACAACGGTGGGGAAAAACAAGAGATGTATACAATATACTTTTGTTTCTCCATCGAGATATTACAAATGTGAATGAAATCAAATGAGAAAAAGAGAAAAAAAAAACATATACTAGAAGGATTAAAACCCGTCAAAAACAATTTGAATAATCTTCTACGTATATAGTATGATTGTCAAAAACCAACTAAACATTAAATAAGACGAACTAGTGTTTGAGATCATTCACCGCAGAATTGTGCCTTTTGGAAGGTCCCGAAGGTGGTACAAGGACCCGTTTGGAAAAAATGTGGAATACACGACCTTTGAATCTAAAACCCTCCGGGAACTCATCATGTGTTGGTGATCTTGATCTTGTTTGAGCTATCTCAATTTCTGAAACCTTAATTGTTCCCATCCTTGCCGCATCGTTGCATGAACTAAAAACCAAGAGGATCATGACGAAATAAACACTAACAAACATGGTTTTGTAGGAAAGATTCATATAGTGTTGGGAGAAATAAGGCGCAGGAGGAGACACTGATTTATCAACTAGCTAGGGTTTTATAGAGTTTGGATTATTAGAAGGTTTAGGATTTGAGTTGTATATATATGCATACGTATATATATTCATGTATTTATGTTTTTTTTATTTTTATATATATGTCGGTAAGCACATTTGTGTATGTGTAAATCACGGTCAAACAAGAAAAGCAAAGAAAACTGAGAAGTGACCCGCAAGCAATGGAGTTTCAGAATATATTTTGAGTTTATATAAGGTCAACGAATAAACAAACAAAATAAATAAATTATATTATTAGTTGGACTTTACGTGGGAGGATGGTGTTCGTGATTACCTCAAGTTGTCTGTCAAAACTGAATTATTAAACATTACTACTAGTATATCGTAAGAAATGAAACTTATATTATGCGATTTGTATGTATAAATATATGATATCACGCTGTTCTATTTAAAAGGCATTTAGTATAAAATATCACGTATTATGTGAGACTGAAAACAATACGTGATTGTGTAATTAATGATGTTAATTAATGTTATTTTGTTAGGTGCCAACAACAATTCAAATGATCCTTTGCGCCTTCGATTGTGAAAGAACATTAATTCTGTGATCCGGGTTAATTTTATACAAATGAGAGATCTAGAAAAGGTTTAAGCAAACAAACTAACTTTTTAAGTTCAGCGCAGCTACACATATATAGATCGCACAAATTAATTTTACCAAAGAAAGAAGTTAAGAAATTAATTCCGTTATTTAGGGTCACCAAACACAATTAATTTAGCCAAAAAAACAATTAGTTTATCATAACATAGAGCAGCAGCTAACATTTAAATCATTACTTAGGCACCTAATTTTTTCTGTTATAACAACTAGTACTAGGTGTTGACCCGCGCCCTGCGCGGGGTGAAATTATTTTGACATTGATCGAACAATAATTTGGTATATTAATTTGTTTAACTAAAAATAGGTAGTGGATGTGAATTAGTAATAAAAATCATATAGTCATATAATGAGATATTAGTATAGCTGTGAAACGAAGCATTGATTCATATCTATTTGTTTTCACTTTTTGTCTTATATATCTGTTTGTCTTATAGATACATGATGATACAAAAAAAATTAAGAAATCGTCTACTAAAAAAAGTAGTAAATAAATTAAAATAATTAATATCATAATAAAACATAGAGAAACAAAACATGATATAATGAGAAAAAAGTATATTAAAATAAAATAATAAATAGATCACAATGTTACTTACCAACTAAGTAGTCATCATCGAAGACACCATTCATAACGTCTCGAAAGTTAACAGGATTCAGTCCAGTTAAGTTGTTGGGCAACTCCTCACAGCTCAGTACACAGGTCGTTGGAAGGAAAACAATCTTGAATGGATGACTGCTGGTTCGAAAAGATCCACAACTTCTGGTCACGGTGAAATTCATGAGAATTTTGGTCTGACCCTCTTGTACCAGACAATCGAATTGCCCCACCAGTTCTCTTTTCACGGTTCCAGCTATCTTGTCTCCCTAGTAGCAGGAATATTAAATTAAATAAGTAAACTTCATACGTCAAAAAGAGAAATAGAATAAAACTCGATCATTTCTAAAAAAATTAACTTACTCTAGCATCGAGGAAGACCATTTCGATAGTCTCCCCCAGCAGCTGCAGAATACTCTTTCCAAAGGTGGACAATTTTCACTTGAACTTTCCATTGGTTCTTGAAAGGCTTCAACTCAGATATAAGGTTCATGGCGGCCATAGAAGATGTGTAGGTTTATTCTTGCTTGTCTGAATATCGAATGGACCTTTAGAACTCGAGTTATATATGTTTAAATAGCATTTACATTTGCGATTTGCGCTTGTCTATCAAGGAAATTCCAATTTATGGCTATATCATTTAATTCA